CTGCTAACTCACAGATCAATCCCTGAAACAACCTCTGGTCTGATCTAAGTCAGGGCACTGCTAACTCACAGATCAATCCCTGAAACAACCTCTGGGCTGATCTAAGTCAGGGCACAGCTAATTCACAAATCGAATTGCAGAGGAAGAAAAAAACCAGAGAAAAACCCTTGAATCAAGGGAGAGATCAAATAAACTGTAAAAAACCTGTGAAAAATTACCAGTGACTTTTTGGAATGTCACATGTTTTCAGCCAGTTAAACAGAATATTTATAATTCTACTTGTTTATTTTCCTCCACAGAAAGGAGAATTAATTAAAATTATCAAGAAACATGAAGATGGTTCCTGGTTTGGTGAGCTGAAAAACAAAACTGGAAAATTCCCATTTAACTATGTTCAGCTAGTGCCGCCAGACGATAGAAATGGGATATAAAAGACTCGACCAAACTCCCTTTCTTCCCTTTTTTTTTTACATGATAATTGAATAAGTTTGTTCGAAGAGCAAATGATTCCATAAATATTAAATTCAGGTTAGAAATTAAGACATTTATAGAGTATCTGATGAAAATTCAAATTCTCTCTTCAAAGTAGTTATTTTTGTATTTACTATTAAGGAGATTTTGGTTATTAATCAAGTTTTTCAAGCAAACAAGTTTCTCAAATGAAACCGATGTACTGAATGACATGTGATATTATTAGATTTTAACTATTCTCATCAAGAAAGCCTTTATTATTTTACTAAGTCTAGAAGGATGGAATGTTAAGAAACTTTTTCTGTCAATATTTGCAGCTGCTAATATTTTCAATAAGTCAGGTTTGTCTGTGTACTTGTGAATGTCTGTATTAAGTTAACTGTCTGTCTTTTTCCTGTTATCATATCGGGAACCAATATTACCAGAATTAATCCTATTTTCATTTCTTTTTCATATTTAAATGTTTTAATTTCTTTAGGAGTAGCAAGACCTCTTCACCTTGGGCGTAATCCTGGGGGAGGAGGTACTCCGCCAGAATTTGAGTAGGGGTGTTCTGAATTCTGAAAGGGGTACCCTGTTTATGACAAAAAAAAAACAAATTTGTAGACCCTGTTCATGAGAAAAGATATAATTAATTGCACTGAGTTCCTGTTTCAATTATCATGTCATCTCGCGTATCGTTTTTTTACGACCATAATAACCAGTTTCAGTCAATATGAAAGTAGAAACCCTGAATATGACAGGAAACTCAGGAAGAACTTGGAACTTGAGTGAAATTGCATACCCTGTTTATGATAAGAAGCTCGAAAGACCATACCCTGTTCAGCGGATCATCTCTGTATAGTCCATATATGGGAGTACCCCCCCCCCCCCCCGGGGCATAATATTTTCCTATTTCAGAACAGGTGTCATTCCCTACGAGTATCATTTGTTTGTTGGTTAACAGTTGTGCATAAAAAGAAATTACATGGATAAAACTCAAGCTAAGATTCTTATTCTCTAGAATGCCAAGTGGTCAAAATGGCAAACATTATGCAAAAGCTAGAGGTCTATTCAAAGTTACCCAAAGGAATTACCAAAAAGGATTCTAGTTTTTGTAGTATCAAAACTTAATGAAGGAAAACAGCTACTCAATGATTTTTGAATTTGAAAAAGCTTGTGTGATCTAGATTTTGCCCTTGAAAGTTTAAGGAGAATTCTGTGGAAAGGCTGTGAAAATTAAGCTTATCATGCTAATTATCATGCTTACAGCTATTAAACAAAGAAACAGTTCTCAAGGGAAGGATGCATGATCTGGTGTCCGCTTAATAGATGTGTCTACTGAATATAGATTTGTTTTTCTCATAGTAATTATTGGGAGGTAAAATTTTCATGGCCACTGACTGTTCAATCAAGGATGTCCCTTAAATAAGGGGTCCACTTAATATAGGTACCACTGGAAAACTTACTACTTCAACTTCTTGAGAATGGTGCTCTCTTACAAAACTCTTGGTTTAGGGGGTAGGGTGAGCTCTTAGTACAAGTAATCTTTCTGTAATGCAATCTTTTTCTTTACTCTTCTATATTTACAAGAAATAGAAACATGTCTGGTTTGATGTAAATGTAACTGGATGTTCTAAATTTGATCTATACATTGTACATTGAGTGTGTGCTTGATTCACTTTTCCTTAATATTTGTATCATAAAAAAGTTTATAATATAAAAGTAATGATTAATCTGTCAAAAATTTAGTCAATGTGCAGATACTCTAATGGGGATACCACTCTCACATAGCTAACCAATCATGATGCAGAATGAATACAAAGAATAACAATTTTAGCCAATCAGGAGCCAAGAAATGAAGCTAAGACCTGATTGGCTGTCCCATTGGCTTTTATCAGCATTACAGCTAGTGTGAATTAAACATGTAAGATCGGGTCAATCAATTATTGATGGGTTGCAAGCATTCCCAAGAGAGTAAAAAGACAAGAACATGGTGGCCATCTTGGTGTGCTTAACAATGTTGCTAATGAGAAATCATTCGTTAAATGGCAGCAACATGGCTGCGCACCATGATGTAATGTGCAAGCAAAGAATTTATGAAATTAGATAACAAAAGAAATACAGGAAAATGCTCCTGTTGTAATCAAGGATGTGCATTTAACATTGCCTTATTTCTTTTGTGCAATTGAAGAATATTTTGAGTATTCTGCTAATTGCCAAGTTTTAATTGACATCAGTTCCTATCTTGTGCAGAATGTTCATCAGCTGAATCACAAGTTTTCAATAGAATTCTTTCTGGCTGACAGAACATTGTGGGCAGTGTTTGACCACCATTTGGAGCAGATAATAAGATCTGAAGACATTTATCAATTGATTGAAACCCAGCAATTCTGTTCTCACCTGATTGGTTCAACTTTTTACCCTGCATCTTGATTGGTTTAAGTGTGACTAGAGTGGTTCTTCTCTATCTTTTGTAACTGATTATATTCTAGTAAGAGAATCAACTTTGTATGTGTGATTAATTAAAGACATTACAAAGTTTTGTACTTAACTGGTTTAGAAGTTTTGTTTCTATCCCTTTTTCAATCTACATAAACTGCTTCTAAAACTTTAAAATTATAAATTTATAACCAAGCTTTCTGGCTTGGTTAATTTTATAATYTTTAGGTCGTTGAAGCAGTTTATCTATAATGATGAAACCAACCTACAAAGAAACACTTAAATTGGTTGTTTACAAGCGTTCCTTAGAGAGTCAAATGACAAAAATTTGGCAGCCATGTTGAAATGCAAAAAATGAACTCATAATTTTCACAGGTTTTTCACAGGATTTTCACATGTTCTCRGCCAGTAGTGTTGGTTGTATTAGCAAAGAAGGATAATTATTAATCTTTTGTTAAATACCACCAATATGGCTGCACATGATGACATAACATACAAAAAATATGTGAATTTAAATATCAAAAAAAAAAAAAACCAGAAAAACATTCCTGTTGTAATCAAGGGTGTGCATTTAACATTATTTTGTCCCTCCGACGTACAATCAAATTAATTAATTTACATTTATGATACAATAAACATTTACAAGACCCTACAATAATTCCTTTAAAAGAAATGTAAATTGATAGAAAATCCCTATTGGAATTTTTAAGTAATGCAAAAACACAGATGGTATTGGAATACTCTTTAGTGAAGAATATTTTGTCAAATTTGAACTAATTGGTACAATAAGCCTTTTCACAGTTTAAGAATCGATTCCACTGCRCATGCGATTTTATCCCGAATTTCTACCTTCTTTTGTCTAAACCTTTTTTTGTTCTTAATTAAACAAAAGAATGTGAGAAATTCGGGATAAAATCGCATGCGCAGTGGAATCGCTTCTTAAACTATGAAAAGGCTTATTAGGAGTCTACAATTAGGATATTCCTCAACATGGTTCAGTACTTGTAAGAATTTCGGAAAGGTATCGGAATGGAATCGGAATAAAATCGGATACCGATCGAAACTGTCCCTCGAGAACACGGGCCACAAAAACCCGAGAATCACCGGCGTTAATTTATAAAATTTAAAAAACRAAATCATTGCGTTTCATAGTTACTCTATGAGAAGTTTGCCATAGACTTCAATTCCACATAAGCGCAGGGCATGTCTTCCATTTGAATTGGGACCCGTTTGTCGCACGCGCACATATCGAAATCCCGTTTCATTAGGATTAGGAATCTTCCAGTAACCAAACCCATAGGCAGTCTTGATGGTATCGTCGTTGTCATGGTGACGTAGTACCGTCCATTTACGCCCATCAATCGACCCCTCGAAGACCCAGCTCCTCAAAGCACCGGCGTTGCCGCTCCAACCGTGTCGCAGACTATAAGCGGTGGGGACCACGAGTCGTTTGTCACCAAAGTCTATCTTCCACCATTGGTTTGGCTTGTTACTTGTGCTGCACCAGGATGGTTTGCGGTTAGCAACGTCTGTTGCTCTGCCATGGCCGTACGAGGATCGGCTGATTAGGATCAATCCGCTTTCTCCTGGGTTCTTCCAGTCAGTCAAACCACCATTCGTACCCAGCCAGTACAACACTCCACGCGTGTCTTCGATCTCTGAAAAAATATTGAATATAATGTTACGATGGTTTAATTATTACAGCTTACGTCTGTACAACCAAGGAACGAAGAAAATGGTAACCGGAGATGATAAATAAACTAACAACAGCAGCGATACACGGAAATAACAATAGGTGCAATAGCAAACAAGCAATAGCAAACAAGATTAATACAACGTCGTCGTCATCAAAGTTAGTATCATAGTCATCATGAACAACGACCCTCATCATCCAACAGCTATAACATCAGTAACGAAAGCATTAACAACTTTATCATCACCAAGGACTACATCATCACCAACACCACCATCATCATTTACAGCATCAACATCATTATCATCATCATTTACAGCACCATCATCAACATCATCATCATTTACAGCATCATCATCAATATCATCATCATTTACAGCATCATCATCAACATCATCATTTACAGCATCATCATTTACAGCATCATCATCAACATCATCAATATCCTCATCATCATCATTTACAGCATCATCATCAACAACATCATTTAAGAGCATCATCATCACCATCATCATTTACAGCATCAACAACTTCGGTTTCACAACGCCGAACATCATTACCACTAACATCACCGTCATCATCATCTGATCATCACTGATGACCATCAACAACAAACCGGCACATCTCGCGATCGCTCGATCTCAAAGGTTTGGCGTCTCACACTAACAAGGCTTCATGCAGTTACATTCATGACTCATGTAGTACCACATTCATAATACGACCTACCGTCATTGGATTCTTCTTCCACCATCATTGGTATGTCCTCACCAGATAACTGTCTCGCAAGTTCAATAGATCTTCTCCTCTCATACTCGAACATCTTGCGCTGATCCTGCTGTTGTCGCTGCAGTTCTTCTACTGCTTCTTCCAGGATTTTATTTTTCTCTCTTTCGAGTTCGAGTTCTTCGAGAAGCACTCGTGAATCCGAGGATGGTTGGTCTTCTGTGCCGATCTTCTGACGAAGAGTCTGATGCAAAACAAGTTCATGTGAGACTTTGTGAGGCAAGTTTAACTCCTCCAGAATTTCAACATAATGACAACGAGGAAATCGAGTGAACGCCATATATCCGTGTAGAGTTATGTTACTAGCCATGTAGCGCTTAAAAGCATTTAGTTATCACAACTATTTCGTTGTAAAATAGCTAACTAGAATTCTCTCAGGCATGAACCAAATAAAGACGCGTAAAGGTATTTTCTTTCGTTTCCAATATACTGCTCCAGTGAACCAGTTTTGCAAAGAAATAACTGTAGCAAAATAGCTGCAATTAGACAACACGTTTTTGGTTTCGATTCACGGATATATGGCGTGCACTCTAAGAGATATATATAATAATATAGTTCTGCAACTCTCACGAAGAACAGAGTTTGACGAATAGTCTATATAAAGTAAGATCAACAAGGAAACTCTGAAGTTATCAAAGGCAAGTTAGCTTCTCCAGTTATTCAAAATAAGAAAAACATTTCAAGACAATGCKGGTTAAACCAATAAACGTCTTCAATATCCATGCTGGAAGAGCTAGGGAAAAAGGCAAGGCAAACATACCAACTGTAAAAAGGTTTTTAAAGCTGCAACATAATGGTGGAAAAAGTGGTAATAATGGGGAAAAGTTACCTGTAGTTCTTCGATGAGGTCTTGATATTTCAGCGCTTTCTTGGTGCTGCTGATTCCTTCCAGTAACGTCTGCAGATTTTCAATGTCCTCTTGCTGGACATCACTCTGTTCTTTTAGCTGTTGCATCATGACATCATCCGTCACGCTTCCCCTCAGGTCTTCAACTTGTCTTCGCAGGACTAAGTTATGTTCTCGTATTTTATGAATGGCTTCCATCAGCGTCAGATTCTGCCTCTGTGTAGCTAGTCTTTCTTCTTCGAGTTCTATTYGTGTCGCAGACAATTCCTTTCGCAATTCTTTTGGTTCTTCGTCGTTGCGTGCTAGACGCAGCACCTGCTCTCTTAGATTTTGATTCATGTGCTGTTCGTCTCTCATCTTCTCTTTGAGATCTTCTAGTTCAATCTGTTTAAGTTCGCGACAACTTCTCTCCTCAATAAGCTGCGCACTCAGTTCCTGTTTTGTTTTCTGCTCGGCTTCCAAGTCTTCAATAAGCTCCTCAATACGGTCCTTGAGAAGACCTTCCTCTTCTTTGGAGATGTTTAACTCCTTCCTACGAATTTGCTCCATTTCAAGCTTGCGCTTTAGGTTCGTGACTTCATTGTTCAACACCCGCTTAACTTCCTCAACTTCTGCCAAGGTTTTTCTAAGCTGCACATTGGTTTTCTTCTCCTCCTCCAGGAAAATCTTCATTTCATCAAGCTCGTAGTTAACGAGGCGATCATCTTCAGCCTCCAGTTCATCAGCTCTCTTCCTCAACTTCTCAGCTTCGGCAACATCGACAAAACCTTCATCGCTCACTCCCTTTGCTTCCTTCAACAACCTTTCTGTATGTCTACTGTAACTTCTTTCTACTTCTAGCAACTGTTTGAGAGTTTGAATTTCCTCAGTTTGCACATCTATAAGCTGTGTTCTCTCGTGGATTTGGCTCCATAAATCTTCCACCACGTCGTTCCACGAGGACATATCTCGCATTATTCTGCGTCGATAAAACAAGTAGATTGCCAGGCGAATCACCATGACTACGGCAAACGTAGCAACAGCAACCGACAATGATAGGGACTTGAAGTAATAGCACAAGACTGCTAAGGCGGCGACGTAGATAACATCATAGCCATACTGCTCGATACTTGAAATTGGTCGCTGCAAGTTTGGTCTTTCTTTCCTTTTTTCTGAAAAGTTATAATCATTCGATTGCTGGATCTTTTTTCGTCCTTTCACTATCTTGATGACACCAAAGATGAACGCAAATACTAGAGGCAGGCCGGCAGCAAAGGTCTTCTCACCGATGACAAAGGACACTGAGCTAGAGACAACTGCAAGGGCCAATAGCAAGGATTTCCATCCCAACACCTTTTTGATTGTCTTATTTTTGGGTCTATTCTCCTTGTGACTCTTCAAATCAGACATCTGTTTTTCAGCGGCATGAACAATGACATTTGTGGCGCTTTTAAGATCATCGATAGCTTTTCTCTGTTCCTCTGTGTGTGAGCTGTGCTCTTCAAGTTGCCGTTGCATGCTTTTGAACACGGAAAACTTATCCCTCGCATGATCTTCGGCCAGTTTTCGTAGCTCCGGGTTTGTATCCATTCCATTCGGGTCTTTAAGACGATGCACAAGGTTTCTCATTTCTTCGCTTTCTTGAAATACCCAAGTCAGTCTAGCTATTGTCAGTTGATGATCTTTATTCTTTTTGTACTCGTCGTTCAGTCTTCGCTCGAGGACTTCAATCGCTTGTTTTTGCTTGCTTACCACATCATACTCTCTATCCATGAGAACTGAGAGTTCTTTGATCTCTGCGCTTTGAGCTTCGACGAGGTTTTTCTCAGACTGCAGCTTATTCTTGAAGTACTCTATCTCCCTCCACGATCGTATGGCATAGAAGACCGAGCAAGCAGCAACCATGGCAGACGATGCTAAAGGCAATATCGAACATGAATTCAAGGAAAACAAGACCACGAGAACTGCAGAAAAGAATACAGCAACAACCAATGCCTCAAACTTTCTCCTCTTCTCTTTGCTAACTGCTTCGTCGATGACCTCAGCAACCCTTTTCTGTATCCCTTCATCACTGCTTCCCTCGAATTTATTCTTCTCTAACTCCCGTTCATGTTTCAGCCTGTGGATGGCCATCTTTAACTCCTCGTAGCCCCAGAACTGACCAAGACGTGATTTGATCTCCTTCTCTTGTAGAATAACTTCAAGCTTGTCAATCAAGGCTTGCTGTCTCTGCAGACGTCGCCTGTCGCTTTCCTGCTTCTGTTTGATGCGCAGCAGTTCTTCTTTCTGTTTTTCATGTTCTTCTTTTGACTGTTTCTCTAGTTCGTCGATTAATTTTTTTCTTTCATTAGCAAACTCCTCTTCGCAATGATGGTTACATTTGCAAGCACCTTGAGTTTCTTTGGGTCTTGGACTATATTCATTGTTATTTTCCACATCATCTCTTCTCAAATCTGCACCATTTCTGCTTTGTTGCTTTAAGTTCTCAATCGTTTTGCGGAGGTTTCCATTTTCAGAGCACTCGGCTGCAAAGCGCAAAGTGAGGCCATTTAGAGCATCATGTAAAGTCTTCTCCTGTTCGCTTGCGTTTTTCCAGGGCTTCTGATAGATAAAGAACAAAAGTGGCACCAAAACAGCTCCAAATGTAAGACAAAATTTGCAGGACAAACAGTAAGCAAGAGGCGATAGGACTAGAACGATAGCTAACTTTTGGAGCAATGTCCGGAGCTTCTCTGCTTTGGTTACTGTAGTTTGGCTGTGCTGTTGATTTTCTTCGTACAGTGCGTCCAAAAATGATTCTTCTGTTTGCTCATTATGTGGCAAAACTTTATCAAGGTTGAAATCTGAGTGTATTTTTTGCTTTATTTTCTGGATGGCGTCATTTTGAGCTTCAAGAATTATCGCTTCGTCTTGTAGACAGTCGGTAGATGGCTTGGTGCTGATTTGATCTTCACTTTCAGATGCAACAGTTACCGCTTGTGACTGTCTCAGCATATTTTCTTCCATCCATTGAGTCTCTTTCTCCCATCTTTTTCGTAGTTCGGAGTTTTCACGCTTCAAACTTGCGATCAAATTATCCTTTTCTTCCATCAAAATTCTCACCTCGTTTTGTTCGACCTCTCTAGCCTTGTTAGCTTCTATAAGACGTTTATCTGCTTCAAACAAGAGTTCTTTCTTGTTGTCCATCTCTTTCTTCAATTCTTCAATCTTCTCTTGTCGGTCGAGAATCAAGCTGCTCTTCTTCTCCGCCAAAATCTGCAAATGTTTATTTTCGTACTCTTCGAGTTCACTCTCTCGTTTCCTCGTACTGTCTCGAATGTGTTTTTCTAACTCGTCAATCTTGTCTTTATATTCTTGTTTCTCCTTTTTCTCTTCGGTAAGAAGTACTTGCAGCTCTTCGATGTGTTGAAGAAGGCTCTCCCGTTCATTCTTTAACTGTCTATCCCTCAAATCCAACTCTCGCTCGAATGCCAACGACCTTTCCTTTTCATTTTCAAGACTGCATTCCAAGATTCTTATGTCTTCTTTCAAATCGTTAATCATAGATTGACTTGTTTGTCGTTCACGCTTCAATTCTTTGGTCATCTGCAACATTACTTCTTTCTTTTCTTCTTCGACCCTTGAAACATCTTCACTTCCGTTCACATGGATGTTTTCTAACTTCTGTTTGAGCTCATCCGTTTGTGTTTTCTCCTCTCGGAGTGCCTTGTTCAAGTCTTCAATCTCTTGCAAGTAAACTTGGATAATTGCCGACTCTTCTAGCTCTCTCTTCAACTCTTCCATGATTCTATCCTTTTCGTCCAAAGTCATTTTTAGTTCATTAATCTCATCACTTTTCTTTTTCAGATTTTCTTCATATTCAATCATCGTCATATCCTCAGCTTCAAACTTCAACTCCAGTTCTTTCAAGAGCTGATTTTGCAGATGAACGCGTTTTCTTTCTTCCTCTAACTCATCAGTCAACTGTTGAATTTGTCCGTCCTTGGATTCTTTAACTTGCAGCAAATCTTCAACTTTGTCTTTCAGTTCTCTTTTCTCTCCGTCTTCTTTACCTCTTTTACGTTCAAACTCTTCTTGCTTGGCTTTCAAGTCGTTCGTCAATTCTTCAAACTTCCTTTTTGCTTCCAATATTTCGTTATCCTTTTCTACGATCTGCTTGGCAAATTCATCCATATTTGTCTCTTTCTCTGAGATATCTGCCTCTATTCTCTTCAGCTCGCCTTTGTATGCTTCTTGTAGTTTTTCCATTCCTTCAACAAGTCTTTCCAGCTCAAGAATCTTCTGTTCTTGTTCACAAATAGCGACTTCTTTGTCTTTAAGGTCATTCACTCTCCTCTCTATTGTGTTGTCTTTGTCTTCTATAACTTGCTTGAGTCTTTCCTCTTCTCCTTGCCTGGTTTTCACATCTTCATTCAGTGCTTGTATCTGTCCTTGCAGATTCTGTATCAATGCAATTCTGTCTAGTAAATCTTTCTCTTTATTCGATGCCTCTTGACTATGTTTCTCCGCCTTCTCCATAGCCTCCTTCATCAACTTTTGGCTTTCTTCAACCTCAGAATTCTTCTCTTCCAAGGCGCTTTCAAGATCCTTTACATTATCTTCCGTTTGCATCAGAAGCTTGTGCTTCTCGATCAACTCCTTTTGTGAAAAATCACTCCTCTTTTTCAAATCTTTATTCGACGTTTGCAGCTCACCGACTGTCTTTTTAGCAGTTTGGAGCTGACTTCCCAACGCACGAGTTTCGTATTTTTTCTCTTCCAAAAGTTTAAAGTTTTCATCGTATTTACTCTTGAGGTCGTCGTACGTCTGCTTGTGAGACGCAACACGACCTTTCAGCTTGTCAATCTCATCCCGTTGCCTGGCAATAGATCTTTTATCCCGATCCATCAACAGCTTCATTTCTAACATTTCTCGTTTCTGTTCGTCAGCGTGTTTGCAGACACCATCGTACATTGCTCTCAGGTCCTGGTACTGGGTCTTCATGTCAGACTGTATCTTCTTCCAGCTATCAATATCTCTTTTTAGTCTCTGTATGTCTCCTCTCAGTTTCTCATTCTTCTGGTATTCTCGCTCGTTTTGGTTGTTTAGCTCCTCTATCAACTTTTGGTCTTTTTCAGCTTTTTCTTGTAAAGATTTGAGCAACTTGTCGCCATCTTCAGCATCTTTCCTGATGCGTTGAAGTTCCTGGTTCAACTCGATATTTCTTTCGCTCTGGACATCGATACTTGCCTTTAAACCACTGACAACTTTATTGAATCTCTCTCCTCCTTCCTCGCCATTATAAACCTCATCTCTAAAGGTTCTCAGTAGTTCTTCACTTTGAGCAAGTTTGAATTTAGTTTGTCCGTGTTGTAGCTTTTCTTCTTGCAGTGCTTCACGTTCTTTTGACAACTGCGATTCCAGATCCTCACAGCAACTTTTCCACCTTGCCATCTCATTCTGCAGTTCCTTGTTAGGTTTTTCTCCTGCAGTAATCCTAGAATGTAATTCATCAGAGGACCCCGTCACGTTTTTCTCTTCAACATTCGCTCCAAAGCGATCTCTGAGTTCCCGCATCAAATCATCTGTTTCTTCGAGCTTCGTCTTCAATTTTTTTATGGTCTCCTCGCTTGCTTCATTCCGCGCCTCTTCGAGTTTCAGAAGCTCGGCAAGTTTATCACTCTTCTCCCTCTCATAGTTAAAGCTGTCTTCTAGTTCAGTTATCTTCAAGTCACGCTTATAGATTCCTTCTTTTAGGGCCTCTAGCTCAAAGTTGAGTGCCTGCTTGAAATCTACTTGATCGTCTTCCTCCCTGATGGGATCCATGGCGGCTTACGAAGACCGACCACCGATGGGAGAAGTGTTGTGGCAAATGGATATTAGCAAACCGGTCCTAAATGTAAAAAACAAATATTAATAAATCGCATGTATATCAGAGACCTCTCCAAAGCCGGCCACTTGGGGGCTTGTGGTCGCTTACGAGAAGTGGTCGCTTACGCGAGAGATGGTAGCTTACGAGAGGTGGTCGATTACGAGAGGTGGTCGATTACGAGAGGTGGTCGCTGAAGAGAAATATTATTTTTTTCATTTGTCACACAAGAAAGATTCATGGCAAGCAATAAAATATTAAGGCAGTAACTATGACAACAGCATGTTTACGCCTAGTCGACATATATGTTTATATACCACATACTCAAAATCAATTAAAGTTTTTTCAAAGCAGTTATATGTATATAACAAAACATACCATCAAATGACGTCAAAAATCTAGATTTAACCTATTTTCACAATCCAAAAAAAAAAGTTAAAAAGCTAAAATAGAAATTTTAGGGTGAAAATCAACAAAAAAATGTTTTTGGACATTTTTCATATRAAAACGCAGAAATATTTTTCTCTGACATTGCGCAGCTTGGAATAGTCTTTTTCGAATATATATATGGCCCATCAAGTTTGGATTAGCACTCATAGGCAAACATAAGAAAAAGATCTACCTTATTATGCAAGCCGCGCGCACCGCAGGATACAAGTTTTGTCTGCCAAAAAAACTCAAGACGATAACTAAAGCTATAGTTAGTAACTATTCGTATTTTTGGATTATGCATTTCGGAAACCCTTTAACAAATCATATCGAGGATGGTATAGTCTCAGTTGGATCAAATCCTGGACTGCGCATCTGATGTGAGTAGAGTTTGTTAGGTCTCTCCCTTCAGTCCGTCCGTTTCTTCATGTTTTCCGATTTTCCTCCCTCCGGCCGCAAAACACGCTAAATTCCAAATCGATCTGCGATTTACAGCAGTTCAAAGACTTGCTTTTCAAATCTGCATAATCAATTCAATTTCAGCAAAACTCGCTGATGATCGTTGTAGTTTTGAAGACCTAGAAATGATTGTACCTTGATCCGCGCTCATCTAATCCCCTCTCTTTTTCACTCTCACGGCAATCTTTTATGAGTGACCTCTTTACACAAGAAGCCTATAAATCCTTTCTAAAAGGAATAAAAAATATTTTAAACTGCTGGAAATACTTCTCATGTTTGTTTAGCCAAGTCTTAGTAACAACCATATCGTAAAAAGCAACCTTTTAAAATATTTTTGAATTAACACAACTTCGTGATGTTCAGCTCCATACAACTTTTCAAGATTTTAAAACAAGGAAGAAGTAAATGAATAAGTTGAGGGTAACATAAGTTAAGCTTGATAACTTGAAATTAAAGCTAGCTCTTTAGAAATGATTAAATTATTTAAGCGAATTGGTTTTATCAGTACTAAATCTTCATTTGCAAAAATATTCTCAGCTACGGAATTTTTTGGGGAAGTTGTTTGAAAATATTTCAATTTTGTCTTCTTTTTAGGTGAATTTGAATTGATATGATACTTGCAAGATAGATGATATATTTAACTAACCTAATTGGAAAGATAGTTACCGATATTATGAATGCAAACAAATGGTTAAGAAGGATATAAGTGACGTCCTTCTAAACGAGATAGCGGCAGTCACTTGAAAACGTTTTCCAAGAGTATTGCACTTATTTTTGAAGTGAACTGACTGCTCTTCAAGAGCCTTCAAAATATTGGTTGCTAATAAAATTACACAGTGAATTCCGAGTTTCTAAGAAAAACATTTCTTGCGCAAGAAATTGGAGATTGATTCAAATTTTCATGCAACGCAATTAAAGGAAAAAAAAAATACCTTCAACAAATAACTCAAGAAAACCAATTGCCAGCCACTTCTAGAAAACAAACTACTAACCTTRAGTGCTGGATTCACGGAATCTTCCAGATTGAGTAGAACAAAGTGGGTATGCTCTGGGTCGATAGTGGGACGACACACAAACGACAAGGAATTCTCACAGGTGGTTTGGTTGAAATAAAGCGTCCGTCACGTGACTTTTTTGCATATTTAATAATGGTACCTGTAATGTGGGATAAACAATGAATGGACAATTCCTTAATGAGGGCTAATAGTTTTGACTATAAGTCAATAAAGTAACAGCTTCTGCGTAAACAAGTTGGCGAGTTAAGTAATTAACATTTGAAGAACAACTTCAACCTGACTTAGCTGAACTTTCACTCCCTTTTTTTTTTTTTTGCTGCAGGTTAAGGACTTACTACTTGAGAAAATGTGCAATGGTTCATAGATATGAATTTCATATTTGGACGACACATTCTTTACTTCGATATGAATATGATATTTACATAAATTATTTTTTCCAATATATTGCCATTCGGCTGCTTTTCCTCCAACGGCAGCTGGCTTGCATTACCTAAAAAAGACGCAGGCTTCCTCCTCTCCTATGCTTGTTATATCGTCATCGTTTTAGCATATTCCAAATGTAGCTCAAACAAGATGACAAAACAATAGAATTTCGCTATCTGATTTGAAGACTGTTCTTAGTAATGTCACATTTTTTTATTGGAGAGGGGGAGGGCTGGGGGGAGGGGGGGTAGTGCTGGGGCCTCAGAGGGAAGGTTCATCAGTAAAAAATTAAACTTCTGTGCAGGGTCAAACCTTTTTATTGTGACTAAAGCTGCTCCCTTGTTGCCTTAATATGAGGGTCATGAATTTCTTACTGAATGAAAGGGGGAGGGGGAGGGGGGAGGGGGTCTACAACTTCTTACGGTTTTCTGCGAATCCTCCAGCCTTCCCCCTCCCACTAATAAGCGTAATTTTCCTTACGCAAAGATACTTTTTTTCTCATATAAAAATGACCTGCGCTGGCCCGGGAATTGCTGTAGGGTTTTAAAAACTTAATGGCTATTCAAGGAAACCTGAATAGCATCTGTCACGTTTCTTAAGCGAACACCAGTAAATGCAGTGTTTAGCTTAAATTTTGTAAGAAAAACAATTGCGCATGACATAAGGTAGGACAGCTGATGCGTGAACTGGCAATGCACAAAAAAACTAACATTCAAACTTATATAATTGCTCTTGGAATCTTACCCTATATAAGACGCTCCAAAGCAAGAGTTTTATGAGCCTTAGAAGGGTAAAAAGGTGTGTATTTATGCACGAAAAAAATAACATTCAAACTTATTTATTTGCCCTTGGAATCTTACCCTATATAAGACGCTTTGAAGCATGCATGTAAGAGTTTTATGAGCCTTAGAAGGGAAACACTTGTGCGTGAAATACGGTAGGTGAAATACAGCCGATGCGCAAAATGTTTATTATTCATTGTAGCATATTTGTACTAGAAACCTTGTGTGCGATGAATGATGAAAGTAGCTCTGAAAGAACAGTTTAGTTAAGTATGGTTCGAGATTTTATAGGTTAAAAATTGCGCGTAAAACGACACGGTTTTTGCACGCAAAGCACCGCGCAAATTTCTATCAAATATGCACTAAACTGCACACATATCGATGGGAAGCTAAATATATATTTCAAATATATTTTAGATATTTACCTTGTCATAACAAGATTATTTTCGTATTTTCATCTATATGTATTGCTGCAAGGGGCAGTAAGAATAATGAATGATGCGGCGACAACAACAAAAGTATAGAAGAGAAACAAGAAAAAAGCGGAAGTATTGAAGAACATGCATTTCGGATCGTTTTAGTTTTAATAACCGTATAACAAAAATATTAAGGGCGTTTGTACCCCAGACATACAAACGGTTGTTGTCAATTTTGAACTAAAGTTTTCACTCGGTTACTTCTAATTCGTTCGAATTTGTGGCTGCCATTTTAACAAAGTGTTTATTCGTGACACAAGGAAACAAGGTTGCATCGCATACCAAAGTCACGTCCGCAGTTTGTTTGAGAATCGACTTTAAAACAAGCTACCTTTAAGTTACAAGTATACCAAAGTAACGTCCGCAGTTTGTTTGAGAATCGACCTTTAAAACAAGCTACCTTTAATTTGCAACGTATACCAAAGTCACGTCCGCAGTTTGTTTGAGAATCGACCTTTAAAACAAGCTGCCTTTAAGTTGCAACGTATACCAAAGTAACGTCCGCAGTTTGTTTGAGAATCGACCTTTAAAACAAGCTGCCTTTAAGTTGCAACGTATACCAAAGTAACGTCCGCAGTTTGTTTGATAATCGACCTTTAAAACAAGCTACCTTTAAGTTGCAACGTATACCAAGACAACAAAAAGCACTGTTGAACGATAGATAGCGGAATAACAAGATTCTATTCACGGTTCCACGAGGGTTCAGTTCGTTCATCATTTTACCTTCGCACCACGAAGCATGCGAGTGTATCAGTTTAGGAGGATTGCTTAACAGGATATCAATGTTTCCCATTTCAGACCTCGTGTCATTCCCTAGAGTATCATTTCTTTGTTTAATGGTTGCACATGAGAATACAAACGAATATGGATACAACTTAAACAAAGAATCTTATTCACTAGAGAATGAAATGGGGAAAACATTACGCCCAAGAATAAAGGTTTATCCTTTGTAGTGTCAAGTCTTGACTAAAAATCAAATCCATACAATGATTCAATCCCCATGTCCAGTCGTTTATTCAGACTCATTCAGATTTTCATTATTTTGTCTGTTTGTCGTATATATTGTTCATCACAGTTCAAGCACCAACATTTAAACAGCATTTCGTCCCACATTTTTGGCCACCAAGCCAAGCAGCTAGCTCTGTCTATCTTTAACATACAGTCAATGTCATTAACGTTGTCCACCAAAAAAAGACATTTACACATTTAAACGTTTACAAATTTAGACATTTAGACTAAAAGAAATATCACGTGTTTTCTCGAACGTTTAGCCATTCTCCATCTTAAATCCTCTCTAAATGGTCGGGGCATTCTGGAGATTCGATTCACGAGTTGAATTTTACATTTAAAGTTCAGGCTGACGCACACGAGGCAAAGAATACATAATAAAAATGTCTAAATGTCTAAATGTGTAAATGTCTTTTTGACTGTATTTTTATCTTTTAACTATAAGAAAATGGTAATGGTTTTTTTACCAACATGGACAGAAAAACGACAAGCTCGCGCATCCCGTCATTCCCTTGAGTATTATACTTGTGTAGTTCTACTACACAATATATACCTATTTCAAAAAAAGTTTTCGGTGTCCAAGGCGATAGGCAGTAGGCGATAAGCGAGTCATTCCAAGATCCAAGAATAGCGATAAGCTCTCGCATCTCGTCATTCCCTTGAGTTTATTTTTATGTGTAGTTCTAGCACTGAATATAAACCTTTTTGTTTAAGTTTTTTTTTGGAAGGCGATAGGCAGTAGGAGATAAATCATTCCTAGATCCAAGAATAGCTGAAATAACTTGTGTTTCTTCTTCTTATTGATGGGTTGCAAGCAATCCCAAGAGAGTCAAAAGACAAAAACATGGCGGCCATTGTGGTGCCGTTAACAACGGATGCTAATGAGAAATCTTTTGTTAAATGGCACCAACATGGCCGCGACGACGTAACGTGCAATCGAAGAATTTTCGTCAAGAAGACACGGAGGTTACTGTTGAGATGTCCAGTGTTGTTTGTGGTAGAAAAAACAATTTTAAACATCTCGATTATTAGTGTTTAGATGTACGCCCACGATTCCTTCCATCTTGGAATGACCTATCGCCTACCACCTATCTCCTATGGCAACCTTTTTTGAAATAGGTTTATATCAGCTTGGTATAGGTTTATATCAGCTCTCAAGAGGAAAGATCTATTGACTGCGTATATTCTTGCAAAAGGCAGCTTTTAAAAATCATGGCTTTTTCTCATGATTCATTGCTTGAGAATGTATCATTGCTCAATAGCCATAATCAATTTATTCAAAGATTTTCGACTTTAGTTTTGTTCTTGACAACTCCATATCTATTTTCCTTTCTCTGTTTCCCTGGTTGGTACTTATTCCCCTTGCAGTCAGAATGTACCGGTATCTTGCCTGGAGCCTGGGTACTGGGTTGTTTCTTTAGGGAGGTACCAGCCTTTGATTTTCCAGGAGGATTCTTCGACATTTTCGTTTCCTTTTCAAGAGGTACTTTGCCTGATATTCCAGTCTTGTCTTCTTCTTTAGGCTTAGCATCACTTCCTTTTACTAAATCCGTTATTTTATTTTCGAAAGCATCCACAGGAAGCCCATTCAGTGGTCCATCGATGGTTATATCAGAAAGGCCACTGGATGGTGATTTTACTTTATTTGCCGAGCCGAAAAAATTCAAAAATTTAAGCACAGAAGGGTCGATATGATCATTAGGCATCGTAGTAGTATTACTTATCTGAGAGCTGCTTGTCTTGGTGGGTTGACCAGGAATCCCTGGAATATTACTTGGTATAGGTTGATGGTATTTCTTTAGCATCCCCGGGGACTGGACTGCCTAGAGCAAATCGAACAATGCGGTCAACGTATGCACACTCACAAGATTCAAAGATGGTGGTGTTCTTGGTTGGGGGGGAGAGGGGAGGTGAATAACACAATCATACTGATGGGCGGTGGTGGTAATGGTGATGTTGATGATGGTCGTAGCGATAATGAAGAAAAAAATGGTGATGAAGTTGATAAGGATGATGGTGTTTATGATCATGATAATGATGCTGGTAATGATGGTGACGATCATGATGATGGGGATGATCATGATGATCATGATGATAATGGTGATAGTGAGGACGATGGTGATGGTAATGTGGATGATGAAGATAAAGATGACGGTGATAATGATGATGATGGTGAGCACCATGGTGGTGATCATCATCATGATAATGATAATGATGGGGGTGATGATGGTGACGATCATGATGATAATGATCATGATGGTGATGATGATGGTGGTGATGATGATAATGGATGGTGTTGGCGATTGTGTTTATAATGACGAAAACGATAATGATAATGATCGTGGAGATTGTAATAGTGATTATGACGATGATGGTGATGGGAATGATAGTGATGAAATTAATTATGATCATAATGATGATTTGATAATGATGATTATAGATACGGTAAATGATGATCATTGATGATGGTGATGATGATAATAGTGTAAAAGAGAATCGCTACGTACCACTGCACCAGGCAGATCTGTAGGACCATTACCAGAAGACAGCCCACTGTATCCATTAGTAATGATACCAGGAACGATTGGTAGAGGGTCTGATTTTCCACCTGAAAGAAAAATAAAATACGAAAAATAACAACTCAATGTCACGACAAAAACGCTTTTCTCGCAAAAAAAAGTTTGGTTCAATTTTCACAGACAACTGTGATTGATTTATAGCGCTATCCGACGGATGAAATCCTTATCCAGAGGTTAAGTTGATGATGTTATCCAATAAATTTATCCACTCGATAAGATTTATCCTTCGGATAGCGCTATCCACCCTTCGTAAAACCGAGCCCTGGGGTTTTTGATTCCATCAATCAAATTTCCAACGACCTGCGTTAATGTCATTTTATGGACAGTAGCCGAAGCCTATATGCCATGATGGTGACACTAGAGAAAAACGTTTGCGCATGCGTGCACTTCAGCACGTTTTCTAAGAATTTTGAAGAGTTTGAGTGAGAAAATAAAAGTTTGTTTCCTCCAAGTATACTAAAAAGTTCGAGAGTATACTTTTGTATTTTGTCCCAAGATACCGTATTAACAAACACAATATGAAAGAATTAGCCTTACGTTTCAAGCATGGACACTAAGTTTTGGCATTTTGTGAAGTAAAATTTATCAGGTATGTTTGAAAGCCAGATTTACATATGTTTTGACTAATTTGCATACGGATTCAGAGCACGCGCAGACGTTTTTCACTCGTATCCATGATGGTTGCTTAATTATGATAATGGTGTAAAACATCAAATGCGCGGACACAAGACGTGTCATTTTTGTAACGGAGAGGGCAACACTGTTGTGTCCTACCCTGCCCAGTCCACTTGTCACCGGTCATGAGTCAAACTTTTGTGACTGTTCATGTAATGCTTATGTAACATCGCATCGTGTGTCCGCACGACCTCAACCGAAGAAAAAAAAACTTTTAGAACCCCAAAAACAATGCTCTGCACTAACTTTTTTTTAGATACTATGCAATGGGCTGGTAATTCTATAAGCCCAGTAGCAAACTAGAGTAATCTATTAGCTACGCTGGGCTACAGAGGTTCTATTTCGTCGAAATAGCAAACGTGGGAACAATAATTACAGTGAAGACACTCGAACCMTGAACACTTGAATTTATCCAGATTTTTATTTTCTGAGCTTTTTACTGCTTCAAACCCTCTAAACAAGTAGGATTGAACTCAAATATGCTGTGTGATCAAAAGATAACTTATTTCTAAATGATTCACTCAAGGGATGCATGTTAAAAAAAGTAGTAAAAAAGCACAAAGTGTTCATGGTTAGAGAGTCCTCGCTGTTATTACTTCTGGACCCCAGGGTATCTATTAGTCCAAAACAATAGTGATCCAAAAACCCACTAAAACAATTAGTCCTCTCGCTCTAATGGCCTATAAATCAGAAGCTCATTCGCACTTGAGGACTAATTGCTAAGTAGACCGTGAAGGCTACAGGTCTAGATATTCATGCTTTCTGAGGTCACTCCCATTAACAGGGCCTTACCTATGACTTTTGACCACACTATACTAGGGTCATCAACCATAGGGATGTGTGGATCTGGTCTCTTGGCTTCGAATCCCGGGGGAGGGCGAACTGCTACAGTGGACAAGAGAATGAAACACATCTGGTCAAACCCACAATCCCAAGGATTGAAAAAAGCAATAAACTTCTAACTTGTCTGGGGTAGAAGCGATATCATTGAGCTGGGTGATTTATGATTCTTATATACACCTATTTCAGAAATCGTTGTCGCACCAAAAGCCTCCAGCAACAAGCCAAGACCGCAGAGAACGCTGGTACTTTTAGCAAATTGCTCCAAGCAAGGCTGCTTGAGATGATAATTAGTGGAGAGCTGTAGCCACTTGCATGAACCATAAATAAATCAATTATAATTAAAAGTACCAACGTTCTCTGGAGCCCTGGCTTGTTACTTGAGGCTCTTGTTGCTACAACGATTTCAGAAATAGGTGTATGTTTTAAACACCAACTCTTGATTCCTTAATAAAATTTTGAGAGTCATTTATGATTCTGCATTATCAAAACAAATATTCATGATGCTTTCCACTGTTTTCATTGCTACTCGCTGCCAATCAAGACAACAATCGAGACATTTCGGGAAATTTCACTGCTGTCAATCAGAGTATATAAAGGTATCGAACAATTTAATCAATATTGATGGTAGTCTATTGCCTGATTTTCTTGTCATGACTGTTGTCTCGATCAGTGTGTAGCAATGTCAACAATGGTAAAACTTCAACACAATGATTCATGATTTCTTCCATTTGGAAGAAGTGATTCATGATTACTGAGTCTCAATGATTCTGCTTCAACCACTGAAACTTGGGCATAATGTTTTCATATTTCAGACCATGTCATTCCCTTGAGTATTATTTCTTTGTTTAATGCTTGCGAATGAGAAGTCACATGAATATGGATACAACTCAAAGAGTCTTACTGTATTGTCAATGGAATGACAATTGGCCTGAAATGATAAAACATCGCACCCAAGCTAGAGGCCTATAACATACTTTATCATTATCAATACTTTTTCGCAAGGCTAGAATTGTACCAGATAACAAAACTCTCAATAACTTTAACTCACTTTAGCAATCAAAATCCAATAACATTTGGCTTTGAAACCTCAGTCAAGCTAATAATTTTAGTGGGCTTTTAAATTGCTTGGTTTCACTTGATGTTATTTCCTGTTTGGTGCAAAATGTTTATCAGCTGAATCACAAGATTTCAATACGATTTTTTCAGGCTGACAGCACATGGGCAGTGTTTGACCACCATTAATGAGATTCAAAAAATTTTGTCAGCTGATTGAAACCCAGCAATAGATGAAATATAGTTGATAGAGGGGGCTTAAACTATGGTTGAAATTTCTTAGAGAAATGACGCACCTTGTCTTTGAGTAGTTGTTGTTGTTGGTATATTYGATGTATCCTGTGTCGCTGGACTCCATTCACTTGGGCCACGTTGATATCCTTCTGTATTGGGCCAGCCTAGTGGAAAAAAATAGTATTAGTGACAGTATTAAACAGGAGCAGGGGGAAGTCCATGTTCCTTTCTGAGATAGCAAACATGGTGCATTGTGGTATGCCTTGGGTACAGACATCATACTGTGCCTTTTATGGTTGTTTGCACACAAGCTAGGCCACAATATATAATGTTTAATGCATTCGAGTGAGGTATATGGGCCTTGGATGTTTCTCACACAGCAGTCATGATGGGTGGAATATTATGTCTCCCACTTCAAACTATTTAATTTGTCAATTAAGTGTTTAAGGACAAGTTTATGCGAGCAACAAGAAGTCTTTTAGTAAACATAGCTGCAGCAGAGGAGTGCTTAATTGGTAAAAAGTCACATAGTGGTACTAGTATGTCATTATTTACCTGAGAAGTTTATATTTATATTTGGTAGTAAAGCTCTAAAACCCTCTTGCCAGCTTTTAAAATCATCCTGTGTACAATAAACACAAAACGGTCAGATTTTTTTGTCTTTTTTTTTTTTTTTTTTTTGATGTGATGCACAACTGCAAACGGATTCCTGGATTTCTCCAATAGATCAGCCCAAAGGTTTCTTCGGGATAAAATTTATGAGCAGGCCATGCCCTGACTTAGATCTGCCCAGAGGTTGTGTGTGTGTGTCCTTCCTCCCTGTTCCAGACTGAACTTAATGAATAAACACACACCTTGTTGTCGGCATTAGTATGCCCATGTATCTGTTGTTGATTCATCTGTGGAACATAACCTGGTCTGTTGGTAGAAGGAGGGATAGGCTGGTGTGGGTTAAAGGAGGTAGGGGAAGTTTGAGTTACTTCTTCTCTCAGGAGATCTGCCAGACCCTTGCTTGATTCATTCCATGGGTCAAACCCTGTGAAAAAAGAGTATGAAAAGTATACATTTAACTAACGGAGCTCCCCTACCAGAACATTAAACTATTTGATTTGATTTTATCTCCAAATATTATTAAATAAATCTCAAATTCTGTTAAGAGTTATGTTGTTGCCGAGTCTCCCTAGCTAGAGACTAATGTTAAGTAGTGAAGTAATCAACATTCACTACCACTACATTTAATATTGTATGCATACAACTCTCAACTCGCATGTCAATGTTGATGTTGGGATCAACCACTACATTTAATATTCTATGCGCACAAGTCTCAACTCACATGTTGATGTTGGGATCTACACTACATTTAATATTTTATGCACACAACTCTCCACTCACATGTTGATTTTTACAGACTTGGGAGAAAAACCAGAGAACCTGGAGAAAAACCCTTGTAACACAGGAGAGAACAACACGTCAAAAACACTTGACTCATGTTGGGCATGCAGGGCTTGAACCACCGACCCCGAGCCGTGAACTCAACATTGATGAAAAAACAAAGAACTAGGAGCTTAAACCACCCATACTGTAGATATAGAGAAGCATGGGTTGTGTGTTGGGTGGACAAGAATAAATCCGTCGAACCTACCTAAATCATCATCAGATGATACTTTTAAGTGTAAATTTGACAAGCCCAAGCCACAAGCAAATTCTCCTGAGGTGCCATCAAATAAATTTGTACTCACAGTAGGGGTATAGCTGAAAAGAAGATTGTAAGATTAATCAAATATTCTGATTTTTGAATTCTAATAGGCCATTTCACGGATCCCGTTACTCAACCTCAGGCTCGTCAGCATGTAATTATTCTTTAGAATTTGACTACAGCCTGAGTAATGAAAGGAATTTACACATCAACGAACAATTGAAACACTTAAAAATTTCACGGGTTGTAGGCAATTTCTAAAGAATATATTACATGCTGATGAGGCTGAGGTTGAGCCGCAGGATCTGTGAAATGGTCTATTGTTGCTGCACTTGCTATTGTTATTGTTGTTGTTGCTGCTGTTGTTGTTGTTGCTGCTGTTGTTGTTGTTGTCATTGCAGCCTGTGAAGCAGCACAGAATGAGATTGGTGCAGAGAGGTGGCATTAGAACAGCCGCAATTTAAAATTAAGAAATTATTTTTTTAATGGAATTACAGCATAGATAAGAGAGATTCCATGATTACACCTCCCCTACCTTTCTCATAAATATTTTGTACATATTTGCACTTATTTATCGTTCAATAGTAATATAGTATACATACTCTAATAGAGGATCAGTAACTGGAGGTACTTGGGGAGCAGCACTTACTGGCCAACCTAAAAATATATAACAAGATTAATAACTCCAAGCGGCACTAAAAAGTGGCCACATTTTCACAACACAGCCTTACCTGTATCATCAAAGCCCTCCCGTCTTGGTTGCCCAACATTCTTAGGTATTGACTGTGGTAATGTTGGTTGTACTGCAGGAGGTATTGTTTTTATTATATTCTGAGTTTTCTGTGGTATTTTTGTTTGGGTTGGTATTGTTTTCTTAGTATTTAAAGTCGTTTGTTTTTCTGTTTCTGTGTCTGTAATTGGTTGGTTTTCCTTGGGTTGMGGTACTGTTGGTTGATTGGGCGTGTCCCAGTTTTCTTCGTCCCAGTAGTTGGTGTCATTATCTTTCTGGTCGTAGTTCTCAAAACCTGGTGGACTGGCTCTCGGGTGTGGGGAACCAGAGTGAGAAGACCCTGAAGCATCATCTCTTATRCCCCTAAAAAAAATAATTCAAATATCAAGACAACTCATTAAAGCAAGTCTTYAAAAAGAGTCATTGTGGTTTCCAAAACTTCTCAAGGAACCTCTTGTCCACTAAGAAAAGGAGGTGTTGAGGGAAACAGGGGGTGTATGGGATTGACATCATCCCTACCCCCTCTACAAAGAAGATGCTAGAAAATCCAAGGGCATACTTTGTAGTTCCAGAAAAGGTTCATGTGTACCTCTCCAATGGAGGGGAATGGAATTTCCAAGGGATGGGCATGGACTGAGAAGGTGAGGAGGTGTGGAAGGGGGTGGTATGAGGAAGGTAAGGGGGTGGTATGAGGAAGGTAAGGGGGTGGTATGAGGAAGGTAGGGGTGGTATGAGGAAGGTAAGTGGGTGGTATGAGGAAGGTAAGTGGGTGGTATGAGGAAGGTAGGGGGTGGTATGAGGAAGGTAGGGGGTGGTATGAGGAACGTAAGGGGGTGGTATGAGGAAGGTAAGGGGGTGGTATGAGGAAGGTAAGGGGGTGGTGTGAGGAAGGTTAGCTGAAGTTGTAATTCTAACAATACTTACCAACCAGATCCTGATGGTAATGAGGATCCTGTAACATGGATAAAATTAAATAATTATCTCCTCGTCAAAAATTGAAGAAAAAACCTTTTTAGATTAGATTTAGTGATGTTCATCTGCAAGAACCCAGGGGTAAAAAATGCTGTTGCTTGTTTCTCTCGACAGATTTTTACCCCCAGGTTCCAGCGAGGATGGTGATATTTAATTGTAATTTACCTTCTGTTCCTGACCACAAGTCCTTGGAAATCTAAAAAATAATCATCAATTATCGTTTCATTCAAATATAATGCCATCTACTACAATAATATTCATTACTGAATGAACAACTCCTCCAGATATCTGGATTTTTGGCTTATGTCAATCAAAAAACTCCTAATTAAATCAAACTCACATAATTTCGATTTGAAAATATTTTGTTTAGGAGGATAATGGGCTCCCTGTGGCTAGTCTGAGGACCAGAATGGTTTTCAGTTGGAGATCAAAAACATGGTTTTGTGTTAATGTGTAGTTTTTTGGTGGTAATTTGTAGTCGTAACTAATAGTTTAACTGTAGGTAAAGTTAATTAAATAGACTTTGGAGTTCCATTCAAAACATATTTTGATGGCCTGGCCAATGCYGCCTCAGCAGACCTCAGCATAACATCCTCAATCAAAGGGCAAGTTGTTTACCTTATCAGTGTTAATACCCCTGTGTGGTAAAAAAAGAAAGAAAAATTAGCCATTGAAATAACATACAAAATGGTAAAGGACGATGTAATAAATTCATGTACCAACTTACATCTTTCTTGCATAATTTGCTAGAAGCTGTTGTTCATATTCTTGGTGTTTTCTAAAAGAATTGAACAAGAAAATTCATGCTCTCTTCCTAACAATTGATTTGCACTCCTATGCCTCTTTGCCCTTAAGAAATTCCATCTTTTCCCCATGGGGAGGGACTGAGGAAAATATAGATGGACATCATGTAATGTTCATAAACATAAAACTCTTAACCTTTTTGGGTTGTTTTCTTCTGCTCCTCCCAGTTAATTTTTTTCAATAGTGATGTAAAGTATAAAATTCTCATTCTGGGAAATAAAAAAACCTTGAAACCTTGAAACATTGCCATTGTGATGTTAGTGTGCCAACCAATTTAACAACAGGTTTTTTCACTTTGCTTTTTTGGATTGTCAGTTTTCTGGTTTGAAATTTAAAGGGGCAATTGGATGAAAATGCTCCAATTTTTAAAAGTCCAAATAATTGAAGTATTTGATTGAAAATTTTCGCCTGGGAGCCACTTGCAGTTGAGAAATTTTGGGTTCAAAGAGAAAAGAACAATAGGGTTGAGTAAATGACGTCATTTACTCACAATTTAGATGCTAAATAAAATTGATAATTTTTATATGAGACATTTTAGTGAGAAGAAAATATGTTGCTTGGCTACGATTGGGGCCATATAGATACGTTTAATTAAGTTTAAAGTCATTTCTAAGTATCATCCATTTTCATCCAAGTGCCCCTTTAAATAACAATATACCAAACAAATTTTGTCATTGTACACCCACATTATATCATGTTCGGGTAGTTCCAGAAAATACCCATACCTCCCCCATGGACGAGGTAATAAATCAATTATACAATTCATGATACTTACGCTTCTTGCATCTCTTCTTTAGTAAAACTAGCTACCTCATCACCAAGTTCATGTAGGTACATACAATCCTTGGAAAAGAAAAAAACAGGTCTGCATAAGAATATAATGTCATAATAACGAAGGCGTTTTAAAACATGTATATATTCTATATTCGGTAGTTAGTCATACATGGATAAGATTCAAATTCATGATTGCTATATGTCGTAGACTGTTGTTGCCCATTTACCTATTGCACTGCACATATATCAATGCGAACTCAATATACTACTCCTATTTAGTAAAATTAGGTAGGAAAAACTAAAAAATAATAATTTTGAAAACCTACCTGTTTAGGGCAAGGTATATTTCTGAGAAAATAACTGCAGTATTTTGTCGTTCCCAAGGAAGCTCTACACGAAAACAGAAAAAGTTGATATTAAAAAAAGGCAACTACTGATGTGCATAGATATTTCAATCTTCAGGACTGTGTCTTTTTACTTACTTAAGTGTTCGACCATCCAAGTAAGCATTACTAACAGCAAGAATAGCCTTATAAGCATCCTAGAACATGAAGGAAAGTAAATGTTAGCCTTTAAATGTTCTGTGGCTTCTGCAAAGAAGGTTTTAAAGAATAGTTTTCATCAGGAAAAAATAAGGAAGGAAGGATCTATTTATACAAAATGACAGAAAAGGAAGGAAGGAAGGAAGGAAGGAAGGAAGGAAGGAAGGAAGAAGTGACAAATTGACAAATGAAAGGACATTCAAGAGTTAGATGCATCCTACTTTACAATCTCTAAGTCTTAAAATTGCGGTCATTATACTTACCTCTTCTTTATTGTAAGTGATATAAGCACTAGCACTGGGACCCTAAAAAAAAGAGAATAATATCAATAAAACCCACCAATACTCTTCTGAATCTGATACAAGGACATCTTGAAATACAACTTAATATGAACCCCAGCAAAATAATACACTTTGAA